ATAGTTGTGACAAATGATGTGACTTGATGATTATTTAAGTTATAATCTTTATATGGCTTCACTTAATTGACACGGACGAAACGTTTTAGTGCGGCAATTCATTTTTGTTTCAGTTGGAGGATCACCGGGGAACCGACGTTATTACAGTAACGTCAAAAGTTTTCCTTTCTTCGTTATTATTTTTTTTTGTTTCAACAACTTTTCATGTGTAAATATAGATATACACATTTGCAGGAAAGTTCCGGAGGAAAGAAATTTTCGCCAAACGAGATTAAGTGAAACCGGTGGGGAAATAAAACGAAAATGAGCGGAAATAAATCTATTAAACGAAAGTCATAAAGTACAGAGTTTATATGAGGGTTAATCGAGAAGGCCATGCTTCTGCAATTATTAACGAAATAAACAAAAACAAAAGTTATTTATTTAGATAGAAATATGTAGATTTATATACATTTCGTTGCGATTAAAACTAAATAAAATAATTATAGAGAATGGTTGAGATAACGATAACTTCATACCATTTTTCAACTTCCGTTGATTAAGTAATAAAAATACATGCAATTTCTATAAAATAACATGAACAAAAATTACAATTCATCATTGAAATTCAAAGTAAATGACAAAATCGTTGAGGATATATAAATGGATATAGCAATGAATCACATCGCATACATTTATTTGCTTTATTTGTTAACAAATCAAGTCGAAATGATTATTCATAAGTTGTTTACAAGACTTTCATTGATATGAAACTGACATATGTCATTAATAACAATTGGATTCATCAATTACTCAATTTGACAGATGTCATTATTGACAATTAGACCACTTGACAGATTATTATATGCATTGGATGTATCATTCTTTTGTACAAAGGTTGAAACGCCGACTATATTTAAACATTGAAATGAATCACATCGTATACATTTATTTGCTTTATTTAATAACAAACCAAGTCGAAATGATTATTCATAAGTTGTTTACAAGACTTTCATTGATATGAAACTGACATATGTCATTAATGCCAATTGGATTCATCAATTCACTCAATTTGACAGACGTCATTTCTAAATAATTTTTCATTATTTATAGAAAAAAAAATGACAAATGTCATTAATGACAGTTATTCCACTTGACAGATGTCATTAATAACAATTATATGCATTGGATGTATCATTCTTTTAATAGTGACATTTATTAGGATTATCTCGGAATTGCGTGGACGAAACTGGTCTGAATCCTATATCTAATCTCTACGAACAAAAATGTGTGATAAATCACGTACTGTCCCAGTTTTAACGCTTAGTATTATTGTTTTCGTGTCTAAAAATAAATGCATGTGATTTATATAAATTTATCAAAAAAAAAAAACTATTAAAATTTATTCATTTTCATAATGAAATTTATACACAATTATTATTATTACAAAAATGAGTAAAATAAGCATTAAAATTTAAAATATTTTTCTTGTGATTTTTAATGTTTATTTAAAAAGAAATATATACAAATTGGTAAACTTTATTTTCATATTGAATTGTATAATGACAATTATCAATAATGACATCTGTCAATTTGATAGTTTTCAAAGTTACCCAAAAATTACTCTGAAAACTATCAAAGTGACAGATGTCATTATTGATAATTGTCATTGTCATTATTAATATTAATGGATTTAAATTTCTATAAATTTGTATTATTTGAACTGAAACTCTGATTGGTTCGGAACTTCGCTGGAATCCATTTTGTAGCGTACAGTGTTGATAGGCAATCTCACGTACACGTTTTTTGTGTGAAATTTAAAATTTTCCCCTGTTTATGCAACTGACGCGACTCGCGGTTTGTCCGCTATTCGACATTGAAACCACGTCAAAATACACAGTAATCCAAAGAGCCGACGGGAAGGTATTTCGTTTGATCCTCGCCGCATCTCCAGATAAAGTCGCTTAACTTAAGGACGGAGCGAAGGAATTTAAAGAAAAGTAAGGTGGTTTCAGGTCGTTTTAAGGATGAACATTTGGGTAGCCTAGGTAATAATTTTGTTTTTGATTTCTTCTTCGTAGGATGGCTTTGGTATCGGAGATTCGAAGCACGACGCCCTTCGAGGGTCAGAAACCAGGAACGAGCGGTTTAAGGAAGAAGGTCAAGGAGTTCATGGAAAAACATTACACCGAAAACTTCGTGCAATGCATCCTGGACTCTCTAGGCGATAAGCTGGAAGGATCAACACTGGTCGTCGGCGGCGACGGACGGTACTTCTCCAAGCAGGCCATCAACATCATCATCCGCATCGCGGCCGCAAACAAGGTGCAACATTATAGGCAACCAAATTCACACATTTTTGCAGATATTAATTAATCAATATTGATTGAAAAGGTGGCGAAGCTGATCATCGGACAGATCGGAATCCTCTCCACTCCAGCCGTCTCCAGCCTCATCCGCAACCACAAAGTCCTAGGTGGTATAGTCCTCACAGCATCACATAATCCAGGTTTCGTAACTTTCATACCAAAAATTTTCATAATTTTTACAAAATTTGAACTTTCAGGCGGTATTCACAACGACTTTGGTATCAAGTACAATTGCGAGAACGGTGGACCGGCGCCCACGCAGTTTACCGACGATGTTTACGAGCGCACCAAGACCATCAAGGAGTACAGAATCTGCCCGGAATTGGACTGCGAATTCCACGAAGTCGGCACGCAAACTTTCCAAGTAATCTCCACGAAATTACGCTTTTAACTTAGTTTCAAACTGCGCTACTTCTTTCTTAGGTCGACGGTCGACAATTCGTCGTTGAGGTCATCGACTCCACAGTGGACTACGTTAACTTGATGAAGGACATCTTCGATTTTGGTAAACTGAGAAGTTTGATCCAAGGAACGGAAACCAGGGAACCTTTCAACGTCCTCATGGATTCCATGAACGGAGGTAAATTCAACAATTTCACAAATCTCTTCAGATTATCAACCAAATTTTTGATATAATCACACATTTATTTGGTGGAATCAACCAATAATTGACAGTCGAAATTCATATTTAATCAATCAATTATTTGAAGTAATTTTGATATAACGTTTCAGTGACTGGTGTTTACGTGAGAAAGATCTTCCTCGAGGAATTGCACTCAGGTCAGGACAGCTGTCGCAGGATAATCCCTCTGGACAACTTCGGCGAAATCCATCCGGATCCCAACCTGACGTACGCTAAAGAATTGGTCGACAAAGTTAAGGAGAACCAGAAGATCCAATTGGGCGCCGCGTTCGACGGTGACGGCGTAAACAACAAAATCGACCAATCAAAGTGATCAACCAAAACTAATTTCGTTTCTCTGATTCGTCAGGATCGTAACATGATCATCGGACAGAACGCCTTCTTCGTAACACCCAGCGACAGTTTAGCGGTGATTGCCAACAATTTGAACTGCATTCCTTACTTCGAGAAGAACGGAGTTTGCGGATTCGCCAGATCCATGCCGACCGGCGCTGCAGTCGATCGGTAATCATTGTTAATTATGCAATTAATTGATTGTGTAATTGCATTTTTTTTTTTGCAGAGTTGCTGCGGCTTTGAACAAGGAGATGTTCATTGTGCCGACTGGTTGGAAGTTCTTCGGGAATTTGATGGACGCTGGACGGTTGTCGCTGTGCGGCGAAGAGAGTTTCGGCACCGGGTCGGATCACATCCGCGAGAAGGACGGGATTTGGGCTGTCCTTGCGTGGCTTTCCATCGTCGAGCACAAGAAGATGAGCGTGGAGGAGATCTTGCAAGAGCATTGGAAGCTGTACGGAAGGAATTACTTCACGAGGTACGATTACGAGGAGTGCGAGTCGGATGGTGCTAACAAGATGGTGGAGCATCTGGAGAAGTTGTTGGAAGATGGTAGTTTGATCAAGAAGGAGTTCGTCGTTGATGGAAAGAAGTTCGTGGTGAAGGCTGCAGATAACTTCTCGTACACCGATCCCATCGATAAAAGCTTCACCAAGAACCAGGTAAGAGAATTTGAATCAATTGAATCACACTTTTATTTAGTAGAATCAACCAATTTTTATCCATTTTAATGCTGAAATTATTCATTTTATTCAATTATTTGATTGAATCGCACATTTATCAACTAAAATCAACCAATTATTTATTTGAATCAACCAAGAATTTGATGAAAATCAACCAATTATTGCGCGAAATTTTCCATTTGCCTTGAAGAATAAATCAATTATTTTGTGAAATCAAACTTAAATCATTGTGAATGCATCCATTATCAACCAAATACAATCCTCTAATGTGTCTAATCTAATTCCTTCAATCTATGAATCTCTCAGGGAATTCGGATAATCTTCGAGGACGATTCCCGCCTGATTTTCCGACTTTCCGGAACCGGAAGCAGCGGCGCCACCATCCGTTTATACGCCGACAGCTACGAAAGGGAAAACGTGACCGGAGACGCTCAGACGATGCTGAAACCGATCATTTCCGTCGCTCTTCAAGTTTCCAAATTGGAGGAATTCACCGGAAGGAAAGAGCCCACCGTGATCACATAGAAGAAGCAAAAGAAAAGAAATGAAAAAGAAACGTTCCTCTACTTTCCATGATACTATTAATTATGTAAAA